CCATGCCTATGGGCATGGCGACGCCGGTGACTGGGCTGTCGGGTGGTGGGATCTGGCAGACTGGGGCGGCGCAAGCGCCATCCATGGCTCTGGGCGCGGTGACCGTGGCGCCGGCACCGGTGCCGCTACAGACGTGGTCAGGGCCGAACGTCGTCCTGAGCCTGTCCGGCAACTACGCGTACATCCACATGTCCGTGGCGCGGCGTCCGGGAGTGCTCACCATGGTGACGGCCGTGCTGGAGAAGCACGGCATCGACGTGGTCACGACGGGGATCTCGTCTGACCGTTCCCAGTGCATGTACACCATCCAAGCTCGTGTAAGTAAACCCATGCTCTCGATCTAGCTAGCTTCTGCTGTTTTGGTCAGGGATGACGGTTTGCCAGGCTTATACATAGGTGCAAGATTACTACTAGTAGTCATAATATGATTGAGGCCGAAAACAACTAAATTCACATTATGAACATGAGGGGAAAGGGGAACATGTGCTATCTTGTTGTGTTGGTGCATATCTTTGCAGGGGGGGTATATCCTCCCTGCAGGAGGGTCATATTTTTACCACACTATAATTTGTCGGTCTTATTTGATACTACCTCCGTATCAAAATATAAGATGTTTTTGTAGGCTAGTTTGATACGGAGTTAGTGGTGTATATCTGCGGATTAGAAACATACTACAATATTACATTCTCGAAACTGCTCAGTAAATTAAGTGGCAGGATCAGATCTGCATAGGATACACATGCGTCATATCAGAAACCGTAGGATCCCCTAACGTCGAAACGGTTGTTCGGTAAAGTGGGAGAACCCAAACGCGTGCAATTGCATGTAACTTGTTTTTGCGCTTACATATAACTCATGAGCCACCTCATAGGAACACAATCTCCAAATCACCTTGTCAACCTTAACTGTTACTCCCTCCCTTGGAACGGAGGGAGTACTTCTTCATGCATCCTAGTTCTCATCTGAGTGTTCCTCCTCATCTTGCTTCGTTCTGTCCTTCTACTGCTGCCTTGCTCCATCAAGTTTACAACCTCCAATCAAATAGTAACATGGTGTTTGCCTGTTCAATATACTAGGATGACATCCTCTTCATAGATTTTCTAATTTCTAGTTGGACACACTATAAACTTGAGGCTGCTCTAGTTGCAGCAAAACCTCCCAAGTAGATATAAGTTCATTTCCTAGAAGCACTAAATGTGTCCATTTTACATATACGAAAATCATTGTCTAAATGCACATGACCATTAGATGGAAAAGACTATGAGGGATGTTGGGTGATCATTCTTGCCTTTTGTTTCTATGCGGACATACTATATCTTAAGAATCGATCTGGCAAGTGCAGACATTTAGCGAGTACACAGGAATAAAAGGTAGATGTTTAATTATCATGCTACCTTTTTCTTTTCTTTTGAAACATTATTACCATCATTGTGCATGTGGGAGATTGCGAAAACATTGTATCCAACACACACATCCTTTATTTCTATCACTGGTATTGTGTTTCTATATTAACATTAATCCATGATTAATTCTGTAGCAGTCCTTCACATCTCCTGGTTTCCCCCCTCCTTTTTTGGCCTTATTTTTCCCAAAGATCAACCATTGCCATAACCACCCATTTTCATAGAAAGGGTAGCATAATGCCTTTTCCCTTCAACCAACACTATAAATGAACTCATTATAGTCATATGGTTTATGTTCACCTTCTTCGCCCTTGTCTTCTTCTAGCCTTTAAATATTGTGTCCACATGAAACTAGCTAAACCTAACTTGGGTCAATGCCTCCATAAATCCACAATCACTTCCATTTGAAAATGGCCCAACACCACACTCGTCGCCAAAACTAGTGCCTGGAACTGGGTTGTGGGAGAGAGCGGTCGTAGCGAACTTTCTTGGAACAACATAGGATAAGGTGCCCTAATACGTTCTGCTTGGGTTTACATGGAAAAACGGAATACATTAAACCTACAATGTAAGATGTAAAGGTGTAAAAAAAATCTAGACTGCGTTCATAATTTATCGAAACACGGACAATAACTTAGGGGTTCAAGAGTGGTAATTTTAATACAATTTTCTTAAGCTTGTGAACGCTTAATATGGTAATTTTTTTACTTCATGTACCTCTTTTTGTAGAATAGTATTTGGATGTTATACTTAAACTAATGTCTTTGAATTCATTCTAAAATTCAGAACAAGAGGTGATTCCTGTCAGATTGAAGCATTGATCTTATGTAAAGTAAAAATACTAAATTTAGAATAGTAACTTGCCAAGATGAATGTGGTAATCATATATTTTGGAATAATATCTATGAAAGCAAATCTAGCTAGATGTTAACTTCTTAGATCTTTTTTTAGGAAAACTTTTTAGAACTTTAGTTGTGTTTCCTTTCATTTTTGAATTACATCGCAGCATGGTTTAGTTATTAGTGATGCACATATGGAAGGGGAACAATTAAGCTTACAATGTAAAAAGGGGGGCTAAGAATAAGGACGTGAATAAGTTGTTTCTAGGCTTTGCCGAGTTCCTCTCGGAAAACTCTGCGATTCCAGTAGTGATAGCCAAGAACGACGGAAGGTATATACACAAGGGTTTATGTGTACAGCATGGATCATTCGCACTCTAGCTATCCACACCCACTACGTAGTTATCCCCTCTGACTCCATCAAGCAGAAACATAAGCCGTGCCTAACAAATGGGCCAGGAATAAAAGCCCGTTGCTTCTATCACGCTAACAGGATGAAAAGCACAGGTCGTTCCTGCCCTAATTAGCCACTCTAACCGAAATACATCACTTATCCAACCCAAAAAAAATACATCATTGCATTTAGTGTCGGTACTTCCGTGTGCACACGTTCCTATATTTGGTGCAATGTCATTATTTCATATTTTTGGGGGAATGGCAGGATAAATTCTTGACAAAACAAATCAATTAATAAATTGTAGCTATTTCACATGAGCATCCTTTGACATTATGTGTTTTTTTTTTGCAAACAGATAAATGGAATGAGCAACCAGTTCGGAGATACTGTGGCATGTGACGACATATACAAGCTGGCGGTGTCAGAGATAATGGTTTGGCTCTCTGACTAAGATGGAATGCTGCAAACCTTTGATGGGCGTAGTAGAAGTTGTCGGTCGATTACATTTGAGGCTTTTATGTCGAGTCGAACTTAACCTCTGAGTCGTGATGATATCACAGACTTAGAAATGTGTGTGCATCGTTGTTTCATAAACTGCTTTAACATTTCAATTCAGGATTGCCTGTTTCGGCTACTCTGCCTTCAAGATTTGGTAGCACTACTTCTCTTAGAATGTCCTATAACTTTATTCAAACTTGACAAACGTCACTATTACAATGCTTCGGATCATAGATCCAACAAACTAAAAAGTAACATCTATAACTGAGAACTACATTGAAATTTCTAAGAAACATCTCCATGTTATCAATCTTTGCGTCGTGAAATCCTGCCAAGGCTTCGGTACAGAAACCGCGGTAATATGGGAGTAGTGACACCGCCACTTTTACAAATGCACAAACTTGATTAGCTTCATGAGTTTCAGAAACTCTCTTCAGTCACCCATCCAAAAGGAATGGATGTCGTGATGTTGAAAGTATTTGGGCCGGAAAATATGTTGGAATTGCCCTAGAGGCAATAACAATTTGTGTTATTATTTATTTTTAAATTTATAATTAATGTTTATATTTTATGTTATAACTGTATAGCTCTCAAACATACGAAAATCAAAAGGTTCAGAGAAAAACTCATATGCACATGTAGACTTGAAAACGGTAAAATAAGATTATTAGTCTGTGCGCTGCCCAAGCCGGCCCGGCCCCCATCCAAGGGAGCTCTTACTTGCCGCTTGCTGCACAAATAGTGACCCCAACGCACGGACAACTTCCAACTGGACCGACCCATGTAGCAATCTGCCACGAGCGACTTAATGTAGGAGTGTCATACTGTAGCAGTTTCTTATTGTACCAGCCTGGCACCATAATAGTTCCTTTTTTTTAATTTTGTCCTTCATTTTTAGGGAAAAAACCTTCAGAGAAGTGAACTTTTTAAAAATGCCGAAATGTTTCTAAAAATGTGAGATTTTTTAAAAACAACCTATATTTGATTCCGAACATTTTTCCCAAATACGGAGAATAATTTTAAAAATTTTGGACATTTTTATAGTTCCAAAAAAATTCAAATAATTAACATGTTTTCCAAATACTGAACAATTTTTCGAAATCTGTACTTTAAAAAACACAAACAATTTCTAAAATTAGTATTTTTAACACGTTTTAAAAAACAAATTTTTAATACACCAAATTATTTTTGAATTTTTCGTATTTTTGTAAAAAATAAATGAAAAGACAAAAAGAATCAAAAAATAAAAATAAAGAAACCGGGAAAAAACCCGGTTAAGCAACCTCCTAGAAGGTTCCCGTTACACTAAAAACCGGGTTAAGAACACCCTAGAAGGTTCCCATGCATTGTGGTCAGTGGCCTGCTTGTTATTACATCTCAGTCTGAATGAATTTGTAACAGCAAACTGTGCAACTATTTGATGATTTATTCACGTAGTTTGCTGTCTTTCTTTGCGCATGTTGGTACGGATATTTGAGGACCTCGTTCGAAAAATACGCCGTCTCCGAAAGTAATCGGTAATGACTGTGTCCTATTAGGTTTAGTTATGTACATATTTTAGTGGAAATGTCGCGGGGATTGCTCTTCCGGTATCTTAACATACGGCTATGGTTGGCTCAGTGTCAGGGAACATGTTTGATCGAGTCATTCATGATGCTCCTACTTGCAGTTAATTAACACACATTTACCTGCAAACAACCCAATTATTCCACAGTACATTTGATCCAGTCAGTTTACAGCGAGCTGCAAAGCGCATGCATGCCAGAAAGTCGACGCATATGGCTGTCAAAATGGCAGCTGAATAAATCGGCTGCTCTAGTAGACTTGGAAGAGTTACTCGTCAACTGTCGAATTACCGAGCAAATGGTGCGCAACCACATCATGCTCTTCCTCCTCCTCCTCGTTACGCTACTAACTTCCGGCAGAGACCAGTCGGCCGTGTCCGCGTCACCGGCGGGATCAGTGGAACCGTTCCACAAGTGCACGGTCTGCACCGGCGGCCTGTACGAGCCCAACAGCACGTACAGGTCCAACCTGGAGACCCTCGGTGCGGCGCTCGTCGCCGGGGCCGGCGCTAACGGCGGCTTCGCCAAGGCGAGTATCGGCGTGGCACCCGACGCCGTCTACGGCCTGGCGCTGTGCCGAGGCGACTACGCCGGGCCCAACTGCACCGGCAGCCTCGCCGCCGCCTTCAGCGACGCCGCCGAGCTGTACTGTCCGTCCAGAAGGGACGCGACCGTTTACTACGACAACTACACGCTCCGCTTCTCCGGCGAGGATTTCCTCTCCGCCCTCACGGAGCAGCCGAGATGCTCCGGGTGGAGCGACTCCGGCGAGTCTGGCTGGGACGCCGCCCAGCTGCTCGCGGAGAGGGTGGAGGAGCTGATGAGCGAGACTATCAAGCACGCGGCGGCGACGGCTAAGCGGTACGGGACCGGCAAGGTGTGGGTGAGAGGCAGAGCAGAGGCCGCGGACATGGAGTACGTGCTGGCGCAGTGCACGCCCGACCTCACGGAGGCCGAGTGCTGGAGCTGCCTCAACGACACCCGCAGCAAGCTGCAGACGTCGTCCATGCACGACAAGGTCCCAACCAGCCAGTATGGGGGGAGGCTCGTTGGAGTGCGGTGTAGCTTGCGGTACGAGAGGGTGCTCTTCTTCGAGGAAACGAGCAGCACGCTCGAGCTCCATAAGCCTAGAGGTATGTACAATTATACGTACATGGGTGCTATCATTAGGGGCAGTGAAAGGATGCTGCTGATACTGTTTATTATACTAGGGAGGATGAGTACGGTGAACAAGATCATCATAATTGGAGCAGTGCCCTTCGTTGTACTGCTTATCTTGTGTCTTCTTTTAGTTCTCAAACGAATTAGAGGTAAATTAACAAACCCATCCCCGAATCATGACAGGTCTGTTCGTGCATAAGCTTATAATCCTGATTTTCTTTCACTTCTGCGAGAACAGAATCGGAGTTGCAGAGGGAGCTCGCATTATGGGAGAAAGAGATCATGAGCGAAAGTAACTCGGGATTTTCATTATATACATTTGCTGAGGTAAATGATGCTACGGAGAACTTCTCAAAAAGAGTAGGAGAAGGTGGATTTGGTCCAGTCTTTGAGGCAAGTATTTTGAATAGGAAGTTGTCTACTCCTGTGTTCCTAAATATAAGTCTTTCTACTGATTCTAACAACCAATGTATATAGACATATTTTGGAGTGTAGATTCACCGACTCATTTTGATCCGTATGTAGTCCGTTTTAAAATCTCTAGAAAGACTTATATTTTGGAGGATGGAGTATATTATTATTCCATTCAATAAACAAGCTCCAAAAACTAAATGTCAACTATAGCGTCCACATCAGTGCTACTAGTGTAGTAAATTGCATTCTCTTTAGTTGCAGAAGGCAACACACTTGTTGAAATTTTAGTTTAAGGCTACTTCATAGTGGGGAGTATCATACATTGGTATCATGCATATTATACTAATGTATGATACTGTCTAGCATAAAAAAAAGTGTATGATACTACCTTCGTAGTGTATAATATTATACTATGTTAGTATTTTAGATGATTGCATTCATTGACATGTATGACACATAGTAGCATAACATTTATTATGATATAGTATCGTAATATGATACTCGACCCTTTTTTAATTTAATTCTATTTCACCTCATCAAAATTGTCTAGCTCACATGCATGATACTTTCTATGGTACTCTCACTATGCAGATTTTTACGATTCATTAGAGCAATAATGCAAATTAATAGATAATTTGGAGTCCGTGATAATACATGCAGTGACACATATGTTAGGGACTCACACTACTAACATTTGATGGTATTAACACTCCCAAAATAGAGACAAGTAGATATCATTTTCAGAAACATTATGATTTTGTTTTACCAAACATTGGCAAAAAAAGAGTACAATATTTAACAACAGCCTTATTTCAGGGAAAATTACCTAATGGAGAACAGATAGCTGTCAAAAGACTGAAGCTAAATTCTGTCCAAGGTCTAGTTGAGTTCAAGAATGAAATTAGGCTGATAGCTAAGCTTCAGCATATAAATCTAGTGAGGCTTCTTGGGTGTTGTATTGAAGGCAATGAAAGGATGCTTGTATATGAGTACATGCCCGAGAGAAGCTTGGACTCATTTATTATTGGTATAGATGTTTACTTCACTAGGTACTCATGCATGTTTAATTGTTTAAGTTTCAAGAACTTAACCATGATATTTGTATGGTGTGTCTACTCAGGATCGAGCGCAAAATTCAGTTGGCATGTTCGTGCCCGAATAATAGAAGGGATAGCTCAAGGACTTCTCTACATTCATGAACAATCACATTTATGTGTTGTCCATAGAGACTTGAAACCGAGTAACATTCTTCTGGACAGTGAAATGAACCCAAAGATATCTGATTTTGGCATTGCAAGAGTATGCCCTTCCAACATAGTAGAATCCAATACCACGACTGTGGTTGGCACAATGTAAGTATTCTCAATTATATAATAATTCAAAAGAAAATGATGTTACTTCCACCAAAATGATGCTACAATGGAGACACCACTCTTTCTAAAATTCTTCTCTTTCGCTAGCTTATTAAAGGATGTACTACTGCAGTCCTACATTTGTGCTGCTATATATATGATGTACTATCATGCAGATGCAATCATATTGAAGTGGTTGAATATGTTTTACACTAAACATGCATATTCATGGAATGCTACAATTAATAACCATGTGAAGATATTATAATATCATAAGTAAATATTTAATATCCACAACATCTTTGTTGTTGATTGACTCTAAAGAATGGTTTTTGTTGTTGTATAATTGATCATGGCTGCAAAGCTATGTCTATGACAAATAGGTGCTTTCCAATTATCAAACTTGACTGTTGCAGGAACTGTATGAGCCTAATATTTTCTTAATTGTGGCATATTTGTAGTGGTTACATGGCACCAGAATATTTCTCCCAAAAAATTTATTCCACAAAATCAGACATTTTTAGCTTTGGAATATTGCTGTTGGAGATCATAAGCGGAAAGGTAGCTTTTGGGTCCTACAAAATAAATGGAAGATCATATGATCTCAGGAGATATGTGAGTAAACATCTAACATCTTCAACAGTTTTTTTAACTTGGTTGCTTAGAATCGTAATGCTCCCTATCGCCCCTAAATAAAAATTACTTTCAGGCTTGGCTACTATGGAGAGATGAAAAATGCAAAGAGCTCATCGATCCATCATTGAGTGAGGAGTACCAAAAGGTGGAGATGATTAGGTGCACACAAATTGCACTTTTGTGTGTTCAAGAAAGTGCAGATGACCGACCAACAATGCGTGAAATTAACATGATGTTAAACAATGGTAACATAATATTACCTATGCCCAGCCAACCAGGATATTTCGACATAAATCCGAGTATCATCGAGTCATCATCACCAACAGACATGGTGAGTAGTAATTAATGTGTCACGGGCTGAAAATAGCTATAGTTTTGTAAATATAATTTTGAGTGTGTTCCCATGATGTAGGATTTGGACATTCTATACATTCAAATTGCAAAGGGTGAATATATACTTCACCATAGGGTGAATCTTCTTTGCATTCGGTTGTATGACTGCTCATAATATTTGAAGGTGGTGACTAGGGACTATAACATCTATGAAATGGTTTTATTGTGGGATCGAAACATGTCTTTAGAACAATTGCAACAGTGTCAAGTGGATTCTAAAACTTATCCCACTATTAGGTTGTTTGCTGAATGCATACCATTGGGGTACTAGGTAAACATGACCTTTGTCAAAGAAAACACCGAGCAAAAGGACGACACTCGGCGAATCACACATGTTCCGACTCCTGACATGTGGCACTCGACAAACACATGCTTACTGAGCTCCTGCCACGTGTCCCTCGGTAAACACATGATTTGTGGAATTCCTGCCACGTGGCACTGGGCAACCACTTTTGTTCCTTTCCTTTTTGTACTCCATTCTTTTGTTTAATTTCTTTCGTACCTTATGAGTTTACTCTTCTACATTTTATGACATCTTCTTTTTTGCAG